TTTCCCTAAGTAAATATGTCTGAGTATAGTTTAAGATCAACGTGTCAGATTTGGGTAAGGGGGAAGAGACAGCTGCAGGTGGGCACGCCGAGTCTGTATTACTATGGTCTCTGATATATCTTGTCCCCCATATTGTGCCTGGTCTTTGTAATGGGAGAGCGCTAGTTGGCCTGCCTGCACCAGGGGGGTTGCTAAAAATTAATGGTGTGGCCAGTCGTGTGCCGAGGGTAGAGTACATGGCCGTGCTCTGTTCAGTTTAGTGGTGGAGATGTAACTGCACCGTAGACCGAAGGGCAGGCGCCAAAACTTGGATTCAGCTCTGAGTTGCTGAAGCTGAACTTTGATTAGGAAGTTATTTGGCTCAGACTGAGTTTAATTTAGGTATAAGATGCAGTACCCTTGATAGGTTTGGGTCAGGCTTGTGGCATCCTTGGAAACAGAGATCAAAGCTCTGAATCCTGACCATCTGTTTTGTGAGGAACAACTGATGAAGGCAAAGTTTTAGGCAGTCTTCTCCTTACAACTGGGATTACCAAGTAAATAGCTGCAATTAAGGTCAAATATTACTGAATGAGGCGCAATCAATTTGTGAGCATCTATGCTTACAGCGATGGAAGGCGATCTCTCCAGCAGCTCTTTCAAGAGCTGGCCGTGGTGACAAGTGTGGGTGCCCTCAACAGCCATAAAGTGGATGCACTCTGTAAAGAATAGAAATACAGTAGCAGCAGATTTGTGAAAGTAATTTCTTCTATCATTAGCATGTTTTTTGCCTTGCTTACCTTTTGCTTCAGGCAAGTATTAGTTGTTCAAGTGTTGAAGACATTCACGTACTGAAAAAGCTGTAGGAGAGTGTAGTTTGCTTATAATGCAATACTGAATGTTCTCTGCATTTGCTGGAAGGTGGTGTTTCATATAGCATTTTCATTTAGATTTTAAATAGTTCCTGTGAGATTCAGGAATGAAAGGAAAGGAAAACCCATATTCAAAGAGTAGAGCCACCTTAATGACCTAACCTAAGCCCCAATGTAGCTGGTTACTAATAAAATCTCAAACCAATCATTATTAAGTATCTGTCAATATGCTGCAATTTCATGCAGTGATTATGCACTTCTATCAGATGGCTTGGAGTGTCTTTAGACAAAGGATTATTTTCTGTTTATTTTTTGAAAGAATTGTAACATTTAATGAAAAATATTATTGCAGTATATCACTGAATATGAAATGCTGACTGCTCTATATTAACTTTTTTCCATTTTAGTCATACACTGTAGCAAAATTTATTTGTGCAAAGTTACAAATCCCAAATATATGAAAAGAGCTTTCCAGTTACATTTTAAAAAAAAAAGAAAAGCCTCCTTCTCATTATTAAAAAAGCGACTCCTTTTGTTTTGGTTACCTTTCAACTTAAAAAAGTATAGGAATTGTAAAGTTTTAGGAGAGTTTTTTCCGTATTGATTTTTTTCTATCCTTCTCGCAAAACAAAATATATGCAGCATTTAATTAAACAATCTAGAGCTATGAAAACACCACACATGTTTTACAACAACACATGTCCTCAGGGTGTTTCTTTCAGATATTACAGATTGCTGGCGGCTTGAAAAATGCCCTCCATTTCACCTCCATACCTATGATGTATAATGGGTGGTAGAGGATATTGCTCTCTTGTGGTATTTTATAATGTAGTATAATAAATAGTAAAATGAGAATAAAAGCAGAAATTTTATTACTACTGTAATCACTTCTAGGTTAATGATTTGAATTAAAACATCAAAGCAAACTAACTAAAGCGTTTTTTTCAGTTGTTTACTGCCCCTTTTAAGCATTGTTCCTATTATACAAGTGGACCTTTATTTTATAAAGAAGTTCTTGATTAAACTCTGAAAAGAAGCCAGTGATGATGATTCTTTGTTTAAATGCACATTTGTTTTCTTTAATGTATTTGTGAAAGTTTTCCTTGGAAATTGCAGCATGTGCAGCAACAGTTGCAATGTGTAATGTAAGTATGATATAATTCTGCATTCAGCATCCATTAAATTTGTGATTTGGTGCTGGGAAATGTTGGAATGCTTCTGGAAACGAAGTTCTTGATTGCGCCGTGCCAGAAACTGTGTTTAAACATAGTACCCAACTCACTATGGACAAGACCTTTGGAGTTCATTATATCATGGAAATTTCATTTTAAAAGTTCATGCTTGGCAGATACGCTATGGATTGCTGATTACCTTTCCTTATGTAATCAAGGGAAGGTAAAGCAGGGATTAATTTAATGCCGTCTATTTTTTTAGCACAAGATCATTGCCTGCTTATTTTTAGTCAAATTTTCCTTTCGTTTTAAAACTATTCTCCCAGTGCTAATTTAACAATATATTACCGTTTTCTTTTTACTTGGAAACAACTAAAAAAACCTTACCCAAACAGCAGTTTGTCTTTACAGCCACTAGAGGTCACATGTAGGAGTTAGGAATAATTCACTAGCTGACTCTTGTGTCCAAATGCTGCCTTTCACAGAAATAATTAAAAACCTTGTAGAAGTGGAGGTGTGCATATTCTGCATAATAGTAATATGTTACATAAAGTAGTGGGTAAAATTATTCCTTGAACACTTTTATTTCCTTCACCTTTAAATAATTTAGGAGAATATTGGTGATAAATGTGACAAATAAATGACATTTTCAAAAAGTATGCTTAGATTATATAAATTCTATTTCACTAAATCCATTCCTGCACTGATTTCATTCAAGAAATTTGAGGATTGTAGCATACCTAGATGGCAAATATGCAGCAATATCACATGACGAGTGCGGGTGAGAAAGCCATGTGCAGCCTGGGTAAACGATTTTTACCTAATAGTGTGTATTCTTCGCTGTTTTACGTAGTCTTTACTGACATTGGTTGAAATTTTTCTTCCTAATTCCATGGCTGTATAAATCTTTAACTTTCTTAGAATAAGGAATAAATCTTTCTTTTTCGTTTCCGTAAGAGTATTGCTGTACTGAGTATTCTTACCTGGTAAAAAACTATGCAGTTGAGTTTAAGATGGATCCATGTAGTGTATGCTGCTATTTGGACTTACAAATATCAGTGTAAGCTTTCTTATGAACGTGTGACAGACCAAGAACAAGACATAGATATTCTTGAATTAAACACTTTCAGGAACATCTACAAAGTCATTATATCTAGTCAGTATAATTTTTGGTGGATACCTGAACAGAAGCGAACATTATAATTTTCTTTCCTTAGAGAAATGTCACTGCCTATTCTTGTAAAATATTTTGTTATATATTTATTACAAATTAAAACACACATGATATAAAGCTGTGATTATGTAGTTAAAGGTCTCAGGTTACCCTTCTTTCTGCTATTACTCTTGTACAGTGTTTTCCTTCCTGCGTTATATCAGTCACTGAACTAGCACATGCTATCAACTATGAGACGAACTAAACTGTCAGCTAGTTATCCCTTCTATTCACTCCTTCCTCGAGAACAGGCAGTGGGAAGCACATGTGACATATGAGCCCCTTTGTTTTATTACAAAAGCATCCTCAAGTTAATCAAAGCTGTATGGATCATTTTCACAGAATGGGAAAGCGGTATAAATAAGCATTCTAACATAAAAGGGGGTATCAATATCACCTGTCTTTAGGTCACATCTGAAGTGATTAAGTTAGGCACTGAATCTGAAGTTGCTTATTTCTGTACACCTAGTGGTAGTAGACTCCTCAGTATGGGAGCTGGGTGCCTAAAGCTAAATACTGTGAACGCTTTCTTTGCTAACTCTATATCCTGACCCAGTTTAGCAAGGGCAGGTGGTGGTGGTGACGGTTTATGGTTATTTTCTTTAGCAGAGGGAAGTTCTGTGTCAAAATATATACTGGAAGTCTTTCCCAGAAGAGTCAGGACATGTGCATTGCATAAGCATTGCAGTGTCTGTTTTCTGGAGCAAATCAGTTAAGACTTAATTCTGTGTTTTAAAGTCAAAAAGTGGACCAACAAAGCAAAAGAACTAAGTGTATTCGGAGGGATGATACTGATAAGGTAGCTATTAAATCCATGCTTAAATTTTTAGGGAATTATTTTGCATTTGATTGAAGCGTGTCTTGTTGCTCATTAATACAGCGAATTCTATTTTCTTTTTTCCCCATTACCTAGGTGATTGATATAGGTTCTGGAAAAGGCTACCTGAGTTCATTTTTGTCCATGCAATATAACTTAAAAGTTTATGGAATTGACTCCTCAAACACCAACACTAATGGTGCTCATGAAAGGAACAGAAAATTGAAGAAACACTGGAGAGCATATCAGAGTCGAGGAAGAGCAAACCTCAAAAGCCAGAGGTTGGAAAAGGCAAATGGCAGGCCAGTGGAAAGTGAAATTAAATGTAAAGCAATCAGTGAAAAGCCCTTAAATAACGACAGCAGTCTTCAAAGTCAGGACCAAGTGACTATCCAAGATTTAGTTCCTTCTTGTGGTTTCACAGAAGTAGCTACATCTGAAACCAGCAAACAAACTGAAGTTGATTTGGTGACTCGGACACAATCTGATGAGAGCAAACTTTCTGAAGAGATTCTTGCTATTCTAAATGTTCTGCCTGCTGATGCTGTAGAAGTTTCTTCTTCATCTCAGTGTAGCTGTGGGGAACTCTGTGAAGAGGAAAGGGCGCAAAGAAAAATGGCATCTCTCAAGGCTAAAGCAAGCAAGTCGAGTGAATCAAACCTGTATTTTCCATTGACCTCTTGCATCACTGCAGAAACAGAACTCAGTGACATCATAACAGATCTGGAGGTTATTTTACTAATATTTGAAGTAGATTGTCCATTGTCTTTATATTGCAATTTTCATATGTACATAATGTTTGCTGAGTGTACATAGAGTGCTATCAGTGGTGTAAATGAATATTCTGGCCCAATAATGTTTTTCAGCCAGTTAGCAGAAGTATGTCTAGCAGATACACATTGTTTTTCTATTTTAATATATCTGTTGGGATTATTTTGAATATGTAAACCATCCTTTAGAATTTACGGGGTAGATAATAAACAGCTGTCAAACTTAACAGCAGACATATTAGCACATTCGGGTATTTTACAATTGTGGTTATAGATAACATTTAATTATTATGAAGAGAGTTATATTTACCAGGTAGATGGATATATTAAGCACTGGAATTTCAATTTTCCTGAAATTTCTTATTTTTTAAGTTTTATATTTTTGTAATTTCAATTAAACTTTGAAGGCATAGGAGAATTTATTTTGTCTAGTACTCAGCATAAAAAGTTTGTAAAGAGCCCTATTTGCAAATAATTTTTTTATATTTTGACTTTTCAGCGTTACTTTAAGTTCATTTAGTAATTTACTAGCTGGCAGGGATTGTGTCTACACAAACAATCATAGAATCATAGAATAGTTTGGGTTGGAAGGGACCTCTAAAGGTCACCTAGTCCAACCCCCCTGCCGTGGGCAGGGACATCTTCAACTAGATCAGGTTGCTCAGAGCCCCGTCCAACCTGACCTTGAATGTTTCCAGGGATGGGGCATCCACCACCTCTCTGAGCAACCTGTGCCAGTGTTTAACCACCCTCAGCGTAAAAAATTTCTTCCTTCTATCTAGTCTAAATCTACCCCCCTTTAGTTTAAAGCCATTCCCCCTTGTCCTGTTGCAACAGGCCCTGCTAAAAAGTCTGCCCCCATCTTTTTTATAAGCTCCCTTTAAGTACTGATAGGCTGCAATAAGGTCTCCCCGAAGCCTTCTCTTCTCCAGGCTGAACAACCCCAACTCTCTCAGCCTTTCTTCACAGGAGAGGTGTTCCATCCTCCTGATCAAACAAGGCCAAGCCCAAGCTCAGCTGCCCAAAGACAGTGACACGTCTAGAAGCTGTGTGGCTGTTTAGTTCCTATGCCTGAGCTAACGTACATTGATTGGGTAGATAAATTCAGTCTTTTATGGAAAGATAAAAACTTGTCCGTGTTCAGTAGTAACCAAACTATTATATTCAGGGGTGTAATTCATCTCTGATTCAAGACCATAGGTTTGTGCTGATGGCCCTATAACTTGAGCTAATAAATCCTACTGAGTATCTGAAAACGTGTGGAGCAAGCTCATGTCTGTCTGCAAAAGACACCCTGAGCAGCAGGGTTTGTTGATGAAGCATATGCCTTTACATTTGCACAGTTGGATTTTGTATTCTCTTAGCATGTAATTTGTGTGATGTAAAAGGTAGAAGAAATCCTATATCACTGCCTTTCTTTAAAAAAAAAAAAAAAAATTACTGTCAGAAAAGGTAAAAGCTTCATTGTGTTAAAAAATAGTAATAATCGAACAGCACATTATGTGTGATGAATGTGTGTAATTAAAAAACTAAAATGTGCAATCATTTACATGTTTTAAAAGTATTTTGAGAATTTTTAGAAATAAAATATTTTTTAGAAATAGTTTTACAAATATTTACAATTTTTTATTGTAACCATAAATTGATTTTTTTTCCCTCAAATTTTTCTAAGCTGGGGACAAATGGGGAATGGGTAAAATTAGTAGTTACTGATTTATACCGTAAGTTCTGAAAGTAATCTGCTGATGAAATACAGGTATAGGAATGCATGTTTGTATATAGCCCAGGACTAATATTGAGATATCAAATTTTGCTACACTTAAGCCAACAATCCAGAAAGTACTTTCAGTTATACCCAGGCAACCTCACTGAAGTCAATGGCGGTCTAAAAGTGTACCTGATGCAGACAGACTGCCCTCGTGTTGTTCAGAAGTTTTGAGCATTGTAATGTGTTTCCTCTAGCTTGCATGTGGTAGCCATCTTCCACTAGCTTTCTCCTGAAAGAATCTCTCTAACTTTTCCTGTCCTGGGGTTTAAACCCTGCCCTTGCAAGTGCACATCTTCTCTTAGCTTCCGAACTTTAGTCTTGTTCCACTATTACTGTAATTGCATGTGGAAAAAAGCTTTGTGGAATGGTGAGCTGAAGCTGACTGATAGGAAAAAAGTCTTTAAAAACTAAGCTGGACTGAAACTGAACTTTTGCCACCTAAAAACTTTGGATCCTAAGACAAGGAGAGGGCAAGGACAGAGAAGCAGCACAAAGTGGAAGGTGAGAAGGGGGACAGGAAAGGGGAGGTTTTACTGTTTTGCACATACATATACTATATAATACAGATGGGTGAGAAAATTGGGTGTAAAGCAGCAAAAATAGATGTGCATATAAAGTCAGAATGATTATAGAAATTCAATATAGAAATTCAATCCCAGTTGAATGTCTCTGGGCTAATTTCTTGTTGATAACCTTGTTAATAAATAAGGCTGAAATTCAAAGCAATACCATGTTTACCATGTAGCTTCCAACTAACAATGCCAGAAAGGAAGTATCTTGTTATGAATGGTGAGAAGAGGGATAATTTGGATGGAGAAATAGAGGGAAAAGGGGAATTGAGGAAAAAGGAAAACAAGAAATAGAATGGACAGAAGAACAGCATCTGAAGCTGAAGTTCTTTCTTTGTGCTATGGAAGAAAATGCCCATTTGTTGTTGAGTGGTAGTAGGCACACTGCAAAACTGCGGCAGTACTACAGTTTTGGAAATAACAAAGCCTGCTCTTCACATTACATCTATATTTAGGAAGTGGTTTTGATTTCAGCAACTTAAAGTAGCAGAAATGCCATAGATAGGTCCAGCCAGATTTACAGTAGTAAATCTGAAGTAAGAAAAGGAAGTAGCAGTGGTAGTAATAACAATAACAGGAAAGCTAGGAAAGACAAGAGAAAATGGCCTGTGTCCAGTCACCACGCAGATGTTCCCTTCCATGCAGGTAAATCAGCTGTTATTCATAGTCTTGAACTTCTGCTTCCTCATGGCCGGCGAAGGTAGAGTGCAGGGATGCATAGTTCCTTACCTGAACAAAGCGATGAGCAGTCTGTCGCTCCACAGAGGCAATGCACGATGTTTTCTTAGCACTGAAGAGCTTTTATTATGCATTGAAAAATTCTACAACAGAACAGCAGGAGTCCTCATGGAGTTGTGTATTTAAACCTTACAGCTCGGTAACCATTTGCAGCATGTTTGGGTTTTGGAGTTTGTTGTTGTTATTCGTGCTCTTTCAGTTGAAGAGGGAGATGCCTTATTGTTGCTTTTTTTTCCTTTTCTTCTTAGGACTGTATGATGGTGGGTCTACATACATGTGGCGATCTTGCTGCAAATACACTACGAATTTTTACTGCCAAGCCTGAAATCAAAGCAGTTTGCAGTGTAGGCTGCTGCTACCATCTGTTGTCAGAACAGTTTGAAAACCAAGAAGGTAATTCTTCTGAGCTTAACTTGTGGCTGCCAGTTTGCGTGTTGAGAGTATTATACCTTTTAATTAATAACCTCCTTGTGTTTGTTCCTTTCCAGTGGCATATTTAGGATTGGGTTTAATTACATTATGTGGGTCATTCACTCCCGGATGCCCTGTAGCTTTTCTGTTACGCCAATATTCCTAATATTCTTACTGAAATTAGGGACATTAATGCGGAATGTTTTTATGTGGTTATGAATACAGCTGGTTTTATTCCATTACTTCACTTGTAAAATGTGGAGGCTTTTTTAGTCCAATAAATTTGGACTAAATATTGGACTAATATTTCATCCTTTTGAAATATTTTGTAGCAGATTTTGCCCTTGGCTGTCTGCATGCAGCTTTCATTTATGTTGAGTTGTACATACACAACTATGAGCAGAATTAAGTCCTTGTAATGTAAGTTATTACTCCAAAGAACACTCATCCGAGTGCTGTGCTCTGGGGCATTGCCAGTTTAGAACATTATGGAACAGTCAGTACATATATAACAGTTTTTCTTGGGGAGACAACCTGAAAATTATTTGGGGATTCACACTATAGGCAAATTTTCCTTCAAATGTGTTTCTTTTTCATTTTTGATAGAAAGTTGGTATCTTTACTTGAAAGATAAATTCTGCATATTGAAAAACATTAAGTAGCTGGCTTTCCTGAGACAAGTGGTATGTAGTTGAGCTGTCTAAATGACTGTCTGCCGAAGTTGTAGAACCTGATCATCATATCAACCAAATTTGAGGGAGGAGCGGGTTGGCAAAGTTTATTTCAGCTCTTTCAGGGAACTTCACAGACAGAAAGGCAGGTGGAACCCAGCTGCTGCTCTTTAACAGTTGGCTGCTCAGGCAGCTAAGGCACAGCTCCAGACTGACCACGACACATGCTAGCTCTTGCTTGCTTTAATGATCTTTTCACCTTGTTTTTGTCTTGCTTTGCAACAATTTTAAGAGTTTTTGCAGTGTATTAGTTTCAGTTACTTCACAATACTTCAGATCACCCCAAAAATGAAGAAAAAGAAAACAGAATTGAAATTTCTAAGTTATAGAAATGCGATTAGTAAAATACATACAATTCCTTTTACATCAGAGTTTTAAAAAATGATAAACTTTTCAGGCACTTGTCATTAAGTTTGTGTGTCTGAAACATTTGGTTGTTTCTTATTATTGCAAAGAGGACACAACTTCCTGTTCTAGCTGTAGGATTACTTCTTCCAGATTGGTGCATAAGGCTGTACTAAATTATTGTTACTCAGACACCACCAAAGGAACACGTGTGATAACCTATTCAAAGTTCAAACAAACAGATGTACGTGCACGGTGGTAAGAGATACTGCAGTTTCATAGCAGTATGGAAATGAAGCCAAATTACATGTTGGAATTTCTAGCTGTTTGATTTTTCTCAGCTTGAAGGATAAAAATTATTCTCAAAGAAGAACCTTTAGGCAGAATAGAAGGAAATTACGGTATTTTTTTTGGGGGGGAAGAACACATTAGTAGTTCCAGTGATGCTCAAAAAAAAAAGATTTTTTTACTCTTACTATGAGGGTACATATAAAAAATTTGATTTTTTTCTTTAATATTACTATGAGGGTACATATTCTAAAATCTATAATGCTGTTGTATTCCCCTGGAAAAGTCATCTACTATACAACTTGTTCGTAAATGCACAGTGGAGGGGTAAGAGCGCAAGGACCGACAATATCTAAGAGCTAAAATTTCTTCAAAGGGAAAATGGGAAAGAATTAGGACTATAGCTTGTGTCTACACTTCCTATGCATGGATTTCAAACTGACAAAGCATTCTAGAGGATGCTAGAGGACTCTGTAACTAATCAGATGGTATGGATCCAACAATTCACTTGTACAAGAAGTAAACAAATTCCTTTTGCAGCTGCCTGAGGCAAGTGAATTTTGGTACTGCTTCCAAAATGGACCAAATCATAGAATCGTGATGAAGTAATTTAACTTGGAAGCAGCTTCCGGAGGTCATCTGGTCCAGATCACAGCGCAAGGCAGGGCCAGCTTAGATCAGGTTGTTCAGGGCTTTGTCCAGTCATGTTTTGAATATCTCCAAGGGCAGTGATTCAGCAGCCCGTTCCAATGTTTGCCCTCACCATGAAGTTTTTTTCCTCGTATCTATTCAGAATTTGCAGCTCTCGTGCATTTTCTATTGTCTTTTCGTTGTGCACCTCCAAGAAGAGTCCGGCTTAATCTTTTCTGTTCCCTTTCCTTTAGGTAGTCAAAGACAGCAGTTAGATCCCTCCTTGACCTTCTCTGCAGCCCCGTAGTCCTCTTGCCACCACTGAACTGATTCCAGTAAGTCAACGTGGTGGGCTGGAGAGCCCAAAGAAGCACTCTAGATACTGTCACTCTCACAAGTGCTAAAAAGGGGGAATAATCACATTCCTTAACCTGCAGGCTTCACTGTTAAGCTCCAGACTCCTATCAATTTTCTACCCACCTTAGAGTCCATCTGTCTGAGTCCTATCATTCCAATTTGTCTATAAAGATACTAAGGAAGCCTTGCTGAAAGCCTCGCTAAAGTCAAGGTAAACTATGACTATGCTCTCCCCTAGTTCACGGAGCCAGTCACTGCATCACAGAAGGCAATAAAGTTTGTCAGTCCCTGGTAAATTCCTGCCAGCTATTCTCAATCTCCTTCTTGTTCTTCATGGGCCTGGGCATGGTTTCCAGGAAAATTTGCTCCATAAACTTACTGAGAACTGAGGTTAGACTGAAGACGGGTGTGATGTTTGCCTTTTTCCTGTCATCAGGAACTTCCCTTGATGGACGTGACTTTTCAAAGATGATAGAGTGTGGCCTTCATGTGACACCAGCCAGGTGCCTCAGCTTCCTGAAATGCATCCCACCTGGTCACATGCACTTGTGTATTTCCAGTTTGCTTGTGTGGTCCCTGAGCCAATATAATCTCTACTGTAGGTAGTCCTTCACTTGCCCAGGCTCTGACACTAAGCTCAGGGAAGGTACTGGCTAATCTAGGCATCAACCAGAGATTGTAGAGACCTGTAGAAGCCTTATGTGGAAAAACTAGTTTGAGTATTAGGATGCAGACTTAGAGCTAGATCTCTGTGGGGATGGACAGAAGATCTTCCTAAGAAGCAGAGAGAATTGGGCAGAATTTGCTGCAACACAGGAAATCACTTATTTGTTTGAAATCAGTCCAGTAAGCAAGGGCTTGCCTGCGAGGACACAGTGGGAAGTTCTGTTATAAAGCATTTTATACTAATTTTATCTTGACTTAGTAGCTTTGAGGCCTTTTCTGTTTTAATAATCTCATTGCTCTATTTTATATTTATATTAATTTTTTGCCCAGTTTAAAAGCTTTTTTATCTTCTTGAGGACAACATAGAGGCAAGTCCACCTCAAATCTCCTTCCCCCAAAGTAGCACATTTTCCATCTTTGCTGCTGCTTTTTCTTTAATGTAAATACAGATGGTTGTTCCCATAAGCCTGGTTGAAGCAGATGTGCCAGCCCACAAAAAAGCTGCTGTGGACTGGCGGTTGCCATAACTTGAGAGATGGCTAGGCTGTATGTCGTTTGGCAGTTGAAGTTTTATTTAATACCAAGATCAGTCTTGTTTGAGGCAAGTGAAAAAATTGCTTTTTCACTTCATATTAACTGGAATCAACTGATGTTCATGGGAAGAAATTTTACCTGTTTTGATACCTAAAGTAGTGTTTATAAGTCTGAGGTGGTGAGTTGACAAAATATGAACAAAATGTTATTATGCTATTTTTGGCGGGCTATTGAATCACCTTGGTTATTGCAAGTTTGGGTTTTTTTGTCTCTGAGGAGCTAACTACAAGGAATAATGCCTTACATTTCTCATATATTCTAAAAATAGTAAAGTTATTGCAAGATTGCCTGATTCAGTTTGCTATTGGACCCGCTGTGAATACTTCGGGAGCATTTCTGATGAAAGTAGGTGCCAGTAGTCACAGTGTTGAATATTGCAATCAGTATACAGTGTCCTTCTATGTGTCTGTAAATAAGCTAAATTCATCTGGAAATTTTTGTAATGGGACCACATTTCCAATTATGCTGGGAATAATTTTGAACTCTTAAGATCATGAAAGCCTTTGTTTTGATTTATTAGTAACTGCAACAACCAAGAGGTGCTGTGTAATGTCAGATTTCAATTCAATTAAAAAAAGTTGAAGCCAGTGACTTTTAACACCTGTCTTTAAATTTCACTGCTGTTATAAGCAGTACCAAATACTAAATTTCAGTTAGTAAGGAATATTATGACAGCTCCTGGAAAATTCTAAGTAGTTTTACTTTGGCTTTCTCTAAGGAGAATTGGCTGTTTATACAGAGATTCTTCTATGGATAAAATGCACTTAGCCATTAGTATAATTGATTCCTTTGGGGTTTTTCTTCACTGTTACTGCATCGGATAGTCAATTACATCAGAGTAGTAAGGATTTTACTATTTATTAGAGAGCTTTTACATAAACCTATTTACATAGTGAGCCTCTATGGCAGTTTTTCTGGAAAAAATCAGTTTGGTAATGATTTTTAGGTTAAAACAAACTCTATGCCTCTGTTCAGGAGCTATTCTTAGGATTTTTGGGGGCTGTTTTACCTTACATTCAGCTAATACATTTCTGGGGCAATGTACTAGCTGGACTATGATTATCCTTTAACAGACAGTAACTGCAAATTTAAGATACTTTCAAAAGACTTGACTTCCCTTAAAAGGAATTGATGTGTTTCTGTATTCTAATTCTCTTCCTTCCATCCTCTGTACCACCAAACACATCAGTACCAGTCTAGAAACCATTCAATGTGATATCCTCTGTTTTGAGGAAAAAAACACGTGAACATTACTATTGCTAAGGAGCTACTTATGTATAAGTATTTCATAATTTGAAATAAGGCATAGGTGCAGTTGTATAGGTAGTTTCAATGATAGCTGTCTGATAGAAACCCTTTTTGAGGTTAGCT